TTATTATATAACATAAAAATAGGAATACTTTTTAATTATCATTTTTACGATTCTGCAAATCTGAGTATTATAGGAACTATACAGTTTCTAAAACAATGTTCAAAAAATTTGTTTTAAACGTAAGGTGAATGAGATATATTTCGTTTTAAATTTATAAAGTATCTACAAATATAAATATACTATATCAATTCAATCAGACCAATTAATCCGCATAAGAACATTTCATATTTAATTTTCACTATATTCACCAATAGAATTGAACCATTTTAGTTTTGGTACAATATCTATTACTATACATATTCGTAAACAATTTAGAATAGATACAGTTGTCGTGCTGATCAAATTAACTTAACTAACCTAACATAAAATTGTAATGATTTAAAATGAGTTTCAGAAACAAAAATCTAATAATACGTGACAATTCTGTTTATATGTCGTATTTTGTAGAATGGAGTGCCCAAGAGGTTTCTCATTAGAAATTACACAATATTTCAATTACTTTTGGTGTCTGCCACTACGTACCTTAACGCAGCTTTGGCAGTCAAAAACTTCCCTCTTGCTGGAACTTGGGGCGGTTCTGAACCATCCAAAGATAGATGTCGGATCGGCCGACGGCTTGCTACCGTTATGGAACCACTTTGAAGCACCATTTCAACATTTTTACCCCGACACTATTTCACAGAAACTTAATCCCGTATGGAGAGCTTTAATCGTCAATACAATTAATTAAGGATTTCTTAGTTCTGAAATATAGGAAACCTACGATTTGTGGGACGATCGAGAGTGTGAAAAGCACGACGTGCCTCTTAAGCATTATTGGCACATCACGTGATTCTATGCGCTAGCACTATCAGGGTCACCTAGAGTTTTTGCCGCCTTAGGCAAACTTCAAAAGTCCCGAAGCTTCAAAATTTAGGTTGGTTTACACTTTTGCATTAAGAGCAGAGCAGAGCGGTTATAAAGTTTTTGTCAATATGATGTAGTTATGAAGTGATTCACAAAATAAAATAGTTAGTAGTAAAAATGCAATGGACTATCCCATTAGTACAGACATTAAAAGTACACGTGGTAGAAAAAACTTCTGACACCTCTCCTTCTTTTGAAATTCATTGATAATTAAGATGGAAACTCCACTCTCTCCCTCTTTAATAGCAACCCTTCATCTCACCTCATCTCAAAAGTTCCATAAAAGCCTCTCTCATGAAAACAAAATTTTCGTAAGTAATAGCAAACTTCTCTAATATCTTGCTTGCGTTTTTTAAATTTTGGCTTGTTGTTGGCAGTATTCTGTGGCCCCTGGAAAACTGCCTAGGGCAGCATCTATATAGAGTCACATGAGATCATATGATGTGGCAATAATGCAAGCTGAACTGCTTTGTAACTCGTCCATGAAAACTTTTCAATATTATCTATACGTAATTACTGCCGCCGAAGTCTTCGGAATTGATGAACGAGAGAAATTGTTTGTTGAAATTTTTTCTCAAGTAAAGATTGAAATATTTTCCGCAGAATTAAATAAAAAAATTGCTATAACTCATCGACACTCGTTCTCAAATAGTGATCTGCATTTTTCTCTGTCTCACAAATTCACCCGAACCTACCCCCAACCAAAAATGAATTCTCCCAGTAAATTTTTAAAAACGTCAGAACATCACTTCGTTATCACATATTATCACGTAACGTGAAAAGCAAATAATATTTTTTAATTAAAGATCGACAACACACTACTCTCACTTTCGCGAAAAGTGATCGCGGTATTACCCACGCGGTACTACCACATCGATGCGGTCAATAAAGTCAACCTACAGCAACGGGTAATCGTCCGAGACTGAAAAGCGAGTACCGTAGATACAGATCTGCAGATACCGGGGTCCAGACCAAACGGGCTGCTGCATAATTTTGCCGGAGTCGTTGCACCGGGCAGTAGTACCCGGATATTTCATATTCGAGCAATTTTCGGTTGCTGTTTGTTCGTGCGTATGCTCGATTCCAATTATTGGTCTAATTTTTTTAAAAATATTATGTATCCAATCTTGGAAATGTATCAGTTGAATGTCCTTCAAACTTACTCTTTAAGAATTGAGAAAAAAATAAGAAAACTGCGAAAAACAATAACGGCTTCAAAAACTACCCGACAAACATTTAGTTTCGTTTAGTTTTGGTTAGTTTGTGCTTAAATAGTTGGTATGTATTTGCTAATTGCACGGCGGAATTTAATTTAATAATTTAAATACAGAATAACCAAGTAAGCAAAATCAGGGATTGTATTGTTTATAGGTAAAATTTCTATGACCATGTCAAGGTACAGCCGTCCAAATAAGTCCTGTTAATTGGATCCATCAAAGTTTTACCAAAATTTGTATTAAATAAGGACAGTTTTTTGCCTACCCTAATATTATTTCCTTACAATTGAAAATTAATTTTTTGAAAAAAAATAAACACCGTGCATTATTTTAAATATTGAAGCGCTAATTATTTCAAAATAAATAATTAATTCAAAAAATTTGGTCTATAAATGACAACAATACTGACAACAATTATAGCAGATTCATAAAAACAAATGAACCAAATCAAAATCTTTAGCGCTATCAACTAACTCAAGCAGTTGCTTTAGATTTTCTGAAATTTACTTTGTTAACATGTCCAAACAAACAACAACACACAACAACTTTCAATTGCAAATGCGATTTCAACATTTTATCATGCAGCAGAGTTTAATTTTTTGTTCTTTAGTTTAGATTAATTGACATTAAAACAACTCAAATGTCGGGTTGGTTGAAAAAGTGGTGAGAGTAGTGACGCCGCGCCATCTAGGAGGTAGTAGTTCACTTGCACTGTTGACTTGGATACACCGACCGAGAATCCTACATCGGTCGGCTAATTGGTTTATTAAGTTGCCTATTTTCTAATTTCAAATTTAATTGGAAATGAAGAGATGAACACTTTAACATAATATGTTGCTTTTCGTCTGATTAATTTTTGCTTCACTTCACAAAACATTCAATATTAATGAATAATATTTTAAAAATCATGTTTTAAGGTCATGTCTATGATAGTTTATCAATCAGATAGCCAAAATTTATTTGTTTCAACTGACAAACCACATTATACGTTAACACAATATTTTAGAATAAAATATACAAGGTGGTTGACGTTCACTAAAATTTCTGGAATGGAACTTTTTCTGTTGTCGAGTCTGTCCGAAACTTTGGAATGCATTTAGAAAAGTGCATTTTTTCTGAAATATAATAACTTAACAATGTTAAAATGTGTTTTCTTCAACGAGCAAAGCACTTTTTGTTTAGAAGATTTGATAAATAAAATAAAAAATTATTAATGTATGTACTTTATTAACATTTAAAATTGATAGCTTCCGAAAAAAAAATGTACCTACTTATCTGGCAAACCAATTTGCAACCTATACTCAGTAACGTGCACGGATATTACAGATTTTATTGTCGCTGTTGAAGGAATAATTTTGTCCTCTATAAAAATAATTGTATACCACACCTTGAGTATTGTCAGAAAATAGTAAGAAATATTTGTTTTGTTTTATCTTGAAAACCTTTAAAAATATGCATTTCTGATATTTGTCTTATTCGACTACGTTTAAAAACTTAAAAACGGCTTCTTTATTTAGATTTCTTATGTTTTTACCGTTTTCGAGCTGTAACTTTAACATACCTTCAGACCTGTTAACAACAACAGCGCAACAGCTTTTGGCTTTCATAACAGAAATTAAATTAAAAAATCTTTTCTCAATTGTAGAAAAATACGTCATATATAAGGTTCACACCCGGTAGCCTGTCGAGACACAGTCCACCCTCAAAAATCTATTGATCTTGAAATCACAATATAACTTCCAAAGTCGTGAAAATATCTAATTATGAAATGCACCATTAAATTTCTCAAAAAATTTAGTCAAATAACCCCAATCTTATGCTATTTTCAAATGTTTGAAGTAATCGATGTGGGAATGGCTGACACTTTTGAAAATTTTTGGTATGAACGCCGATTTTTAAATAACGATTGTCCTTATCGAGGAAAAATATAGAAACAATACCAAGCACAGACCTTGATATGCAATTTACGATGGTGATTATTAACTATAAAGTATCGACCTTGTTGACAAATTACGATTAAAGTAAAATACATGTTACCAAATATTTTCAACAAACAACAAACTCGGTTTTTCTCCAGCAATCTCTAATTTTCAAACTTTGTAAGTCACCAAAACTATTGCGAGCTATTAAATTAAATAAAATTTAATAAAGTAAGTTTAGCTTGCAATTTCGGCACCGCTTGAAACTTGGTCATCTCTCATTTAACCAGATGCGGCCAGATGTACTAACCACTGACAGGAAGTGACGCCAAAAGTAGGTCATATTGTTGGGAAATTGATATAAATGGAATGATACAAAAGCAGGTCATTCCCGATGCTAAGGCACTAAAAAAAATGCTTCAACGTTGTATACTTGTATACAGATATATTTTTTTATTTCTATAGGATAAATCATTAACAATATTATATTTTTATAATTTTTGTTTTATTTAATAAAGGGAGATCAAGGTATAAAAGAACCACTGCACGAGAACAGAGAACACTTCAAAATGTGCTTGCACTTGCTGCTCAGGAAAGAACTGCTTGCTCTACAGTTTGGGAAGTTTTGTATGTAAACGATCTTCGGCCCTTTCATGTTCAAAAGGTTCAAGTACTGTATGAGGGTGATGAGCGATTGAGAGTAATTTTATGCTATCAAATTTTAGGAAAAATTCAAAATTATCCGCAATTCTTAAATGTAATTTTGTTCACTGAAGAGGCTGCCTTCAGTCATGATGGCATTGTAAATTTTCGAAATATGCATCAGTGGAACATTGAAAACCCGCATGCAAAATTTTAAGGAAAACATGAGCGCCGGTTTTCTTTAAATATATGGACAGGGATTATAGGAGATAATCTTATAGGACCTCATTCCTTTAACGGATCGCTTAATGGGGAAATGTATTTGCAATTTCTCCAAGAGGAGAAAAGAGGAGAAGAGGAACTACCACCTTTTCTGGAAGAGGTACCCTTGCAGTGGAGACAAAACATGTGGTTAACTCAAGATGGCGCTCCACCCCATTTTACATTGGCTATACGAAGGTATCAGGCCACCTCGCCCACCAGACCTTAATCCGATGGACTTTTTTTCGTGGCACTTAGAGTTTTTAGTGTATGAAACACCTATAACAGATACCAGTGATCTACGACAAAAAATAATAAATGGTTGGGAAATCATTAGAAGTAGGCTAGGTGTGTTCGACAGCATTTTTTAAAGAAAATGTTTAGAAATGAACGGTGGCATTTTGAAAATGAATTGTAATTAGCGTTGTATGTTGTTATATTCCCAATTATTATAAATAATTTTTTATTTTCGAAAATGTAAAAACATTTTACTGCACTTTTTTAATTTGTATTATACTGTTTTCAAAAATTTAGTGCACTTCGCCCGCAGATTGATAATACTGGCCTGCATTTTCACTTGCACAATTTTTGAGCATTTGTGATTCTGCTTAACTCAATCTGTTCTATTTTGCACTATCAATATAAATAAATAAAATACAGGGAAAATAAAAAAAATGTTATAGGTAAACTGCTCTCTGATGACAGATTTCTGAAACACTGAAAAATAAAATTTAAAAAACTGAATTTTGACAAGCTATAACTCGGAAAATATTACGTTTTCTAATTTTTGTTACACGACTTACTACCGTTCTTTTACCACATTGAATCTTTCCTCCCAGTTTCCGAACTCAATTTCCGAACACCCTGTATAGTAATAAGCTAATTAATCAACAACTAAACCCCAGGACTATCAATAGGAGTGCAGTGTCAAAACTGAAATCGAAAGAAGTTGTCCGGCGACCCTGACACGGTGCCCCACGTGCCCTTTCCGAAAATCTGCCTCCTTTGGTCGGGGGCCGCGGGTGCGACACGCGCGATACCGCGCGCTCCTTCCGCATTCGGATATCGAGCGAACGAGGCTTTGTGCGATTCTCGCGCTGTTCCGTGCCGATCGTGCCTTCATTTCCACCGTGTCTATCGTCACGACGGTGTTGACACTCCAGAGTGTGGGTCACCAGGTGATCAGGTTACGAAAAAAATTCGGCAACGGAGAATCGTTACTAGATTCGCTCAAATCAAGGTAAGATCGCGTTTATTAATAATTTTCAACGACATTTCAATCTAAAGTGTCACGTGCCCATTTTATTGCCATTAATAATTTTTGAAAAAGCTAAAAGGCATTCAAAGTAGTTTATAGAAACTCGATTTAATTTTGGTATTGGGGCTAAGAATAAGAATAGATTTGGGAATAAATATTGGGTGTTGATGCAAGTGACATTTAAAAAGATTTTTTTTTATTTTTGAAAAAACGGACCGTTTGTTTTATGCTATGAATTTCCTTAATTCTATGTATTATGTATATCTTTGAATTCTTGTACTTTAAAATGTGTGTCGAGAAATGAATTTTTCAAAATAAACGTTCTACTAATTTTTGTAGAGTAAAAAGAATATTTAAAGGTAATGTAATAAAATCTTAGTATTTCAAATTGTCAAAGAAACTTCCACGGGCTACTGCAATACTATTTACAAATCTTTGCAATTTTTGTAAACAGTCTAATTATTCTGTTAAGCATATTTTTAATTTTTGCCCAACAATTATATTTTTTCAGGCAATTTGTAGGTATATATATATATATATATATATATATATATATATATATATATATATATATATATATATATATATATATATATATATATATATATATATATATATATATATATATATATATATATATATATATAGCAAAACCTAGGTATATGACCTCAAAAAAACAGGGTTTTTGAAGTTATTTGAGGTTTTACGGAATTAATAAATTATTCAATAAATTACGCGAGAACAAACTTTCGGGGAACAACGTTTGTTTGTTAGAAAAACAACTATTTAAATTTAATTTAGGTAACTTAAGCCGTATCTTGGTAAGCATTCACTTTAAGACTGGTGTTTATTAACCAAACTTACCCTATTTTTTAATATTCTATTATGTTGCTTCTTCATAGTGGATGAAAAAATAGGACCTTACTGCGTTGTGTACAAATAAAAATTATAGTTCATTTTAAACAAATTTAAACAGTTTCTGGATAACAATATGTCATTAGTTCTTGAAAACTGCAATGTGTGAAATTAAAATGATTATTTTGATTGATTTGATTTCAAGTTAAATCTGGACGTCGGAGGTGCAAATTAAAAAATCCGTTTAATGCATGATACTAGAAAGATATGTATACATTTTTATAAAAATATCACAAATAATGTAAAAAATGTAATTACAAACAGTTTGTTTTAAACCAGAGTGAATTTTAGACGCACAATTTGCCCTTAAAAACATGTTCATACCCTGTAAACTAGTCCACAATTCTAAGTCTTTTCTTAAACTTATACCTGGCGCATTTAAAATACTAAAAGATTATTTGATTTGTAGTATTGTCCACTTTCAGTTTTAAAAACAAATTGAAATATGTTAAAAAGGAGACGACTAACAATTCTTTTTATGATTAATTAATTAAATTTTAACCGAGATCTTAGGTTCATATTTATTGACACCACGTTACTTCGAGTTACATAAACTGTGCTATTCAAGCTGGCTTATATTAACATCTTTTTATTTTTTGTTTTTGTTTGGCCTTCACTTTCTGTTCTCAATTTTCGTCAACTCTTTGCTAAGTCGCTTTGTTTTCAACTATTATTCTTTTCTAGGTTTTGGTTAACGAACGGTTATTGCAAATGATTGCAAATAAACATACGTGTTCCCAAATTTTTGCTTATGTTTTTTTTGTAAATATTTAATTTAATAGTAATAGTAATCGTAATAATTAAAAAAAATAAAAAATTAAAATTTTGATTGCATTTACAATATAGTTTAACCTAAGAAAAATAAGTAAAATAGTACCCACACATGTCAATCGAGTAATAATTCTTAATCCAAACAACACTTACAATTGCTAAACTACCGAGTTTATGTGATTTAAAGTGTGAGTTCCCATCTATCGTTTCTGATTCCGATCAATTGATGCACTCCTTTTCACAGAAACTTAAAATATTCTGTAAGTTAATATATTATCAGTGCGAAAATGCAAATAGAATTTTACTTTGTGTGTAGTTAACTCTAACCCCAACAAACATCGTCTGACAGTAAATATCCTATTTGCATTTATTGGCTTAAATAAACCCTGACCATTCAGAAGATTTCATATAAATTTGACTTTAGAATACTTGCTAACAGGGGATAAATCCTCTTATTGGGTAGAGATGATACTGATATATTGTTTTTTTTTTCAATTTTTTATTAATCGATTCCAATTCTTGTATACATTTTATTTTGTTTTGTTTTGAAAACTAGTTACTTACTCTATTTTTTCAATTTTTTAATTATTGTTTTCTTCGTCTACAGTAATAAATATCGTGGAATAGATAAACGATAAAAATTTGTTAAACCCACAGATATAGAAAAAAATGTATTCTCGAAGTAATATTTATCTTTTTTAATTCCATTGTTTAGTCCCAATAAAAACACGAATTTATGAGAAAATATTGAGGGTATTTCGTTTGATATTTCCGTTATAACTCCGCGCGACGAAGTTTCTACATACATCTGACATTTTTAGTACTAATTGGACATTGTATAATATTTACGCAATCTCTTAAAATAGCGAAGGCCATTAAATATTCTTTAAAAGGAACGACACACTGCGGATCTACTTACAGAAGATGTTTTGTTTTGGCATGGACAACTCTCCAGCAATACGTTGCGAATTGGGGAGATAATTACAGGGCGCGTTTAATTTTAACCATTTTCTATTCGTTAAAGGCAGCGTAATGTGCATGAAGTTAATTGCCGCCAATCGTTAACATCGAAGCAGTCGCCTGCAACCAATTTTGCAAAGTTTGTATTTAAATTAGTAGTTTATTGCGTAATTGCTATCGGAAGTGGTTATTGCCATCATGACCTAATTAAGCTGATGGCTAATCGAATTTTTTTAATGAAATTACCAAAATTAATACGCATATCCGTAGTAGTCTTCAAATTAAATTACTCAAAATTATTGTCTCGAAGTTAAGGTACCATCGTTTAAAAAACAAAAACTGATTTGAAAAGCATACGTAAAAATTGTTGACTTAAGCAGGCACGTGCGAGCTTTGATGATGGTGGCCCAGTTTCAAGTCAAATAATCTGAATAAAAAAGGGATTGTACATATCTACTTACTTTGTGTGCTACACTTTATCGGTTAATCACTGGGTCATGTGCAGCTTTACTTGAGGCAGTAAAACGATAAAAATGCGCAACAGGGCTTTTGTTTCGGGCCGCTAAACAAGCTCCCTTATCAAGTAAGTTCATTTACATATCTAAAGTCGACTTTGTTTTTTATTATTTATACGTTTGGGAGAATATTTTGTGGTACCGGATAAAGCAAAGTGTGTTGCTCTGCCCTGGGTGTTGTCGCACTCTTTGGAGTCTGTGGCTACATTTTAATAAGTTAATATTACTGGCCTCTAAGCTTTGGTTTTTCAATATCAGGCGGCTGCCCAAATAATGGACGTTTGAAGATATTAACAATTTCTTATATGTTTTATTTGTAGAAATTGAATTGAATAGAAATAGAATAGAAATTCCTAATATTTTTGAAATCGCAATTCCACTAACGAAAAAGAAACCTATTTGTTACAAATGACAGTTAATTTTCCAAAAAAAAAAATGAAAGTTAAAAAAGCGACAAACTAATACCCATTAAATGTTAAATTAAAAACTGGGTAATAAAAATTGCTTTTTATACAAAGACTTTGCAAAAAATCCAGTATCTGAATTAGTATGTATTAGCCATTCAGGTGAAAGTAATATAATTCCGCAAAATCTCCGTTAGTAATTAGAAACCTAAATAAACGATTCTATTAAAAATGATAATTTCAACACCGAGTCTGCTATAAAAAACATAAATTTAATCTGTTAGCAATTTTAACATAACGGTAGGAACTCAAGAAAAATATTCTAGTTTTACTTTGATCCGGAATTTCCACCATATACATACAGGCTGAGACTACTGATTTTGGAAAAAAAAATATATATATATATATATATATATATATATATATATATATATATATATATATATATATATATATATATATATATATATATATATATATATATATATATATATATATATATATATATATATATATATATATATATATATATATATATATATATATATATATATATATATATATATATATATATATATATATATATATATATATATATATATATATATATATATATATATATATATATATATAAGTGCTGGACCGAAATTAATTTTAAAAATTTACATAGAACACCCTATATACTTTGTTATTTTTAGAATCCTCGCCAAAAACAAAGGTACCTTTTATAGAAACTACTTATTCGAATTTTGTGTACTTTAGACTATATATTTAGACTTTAGATTATATATTTTATTATATTTATTATATTATTATTATAAATTTTTTTATGCAACAAATATGGTCTTCCACGGCTGGCAGTAATGGTTACTTGATCAAATTTTAAACACATTTTTAGAAGACTTCCTTCTAACCATCTGCGATAACTAGGTAAATTTAAAATTATACACGGTGTCTTAAATTAAAGGACAATTTTTTAAAATTTCAACATGTTTTTGATATTTTCTATAATTTGATATCCTATACCTAAATCTAATGGTTTTCGAAATACTGACGTCTAATTATTTTAAAGAATTAAAAAAAAAGCATATCATTCTTATTTTTTCAATTAATTTTAGGTATTTTTTGGCAATGGGTCTTTTAAAACGCCATCAATTTTTATATGGTTAATGATGTAAAATAATATGTATAATTATGATAGTTTAAAAATTTGCAAGTAACAGTAACAAGTAAAAGCAAAAATAACTGTAACAATTAAAGCAAAAACTAAGGTGAAATAAAATAGTAGTAGGTTTTCAATATGTCCACCATTTTGAATAATGCACGTTGTATAAACAACCTGTACGTGGTTTATAGCATTAGAAACACAATCGGTGTTATTTAGTTGAACTATAGCGTCTCTAATACAACTTTGTAG